TTGAAGAGTAGGCATTCAAATATTTGTTATGCTTGAACTATCCTATCTAATAAAGAGGAAATATGCTAATTGACTGTCATACCCTCAAAGATGGCAGTGCCCACAGCCACAAGATGGTGGCACCTAGTCCCCTCAGCCCTGCCAAGGTGACAGGCCCAGTAGGTTTGGCCACTTCTCCAGAGTCCCTCAGTCCCCACAGCCGCCTAGCCAACCAGGGCTGGCCCAGGGCACAGGCAAGCCTTGTATGGCAGTGGCCCAGCCGCCCAGGGCTGCCTGAGGCTCAGGTAACCAGGGCTGGCTGAGGTTTGCACTGCCAGTAGAGGCAGCAGCAGAGGTGTGATGTGGGTGTCGCTTTCCCCTGATCATCGGGTCACCTCCCGCCCATGAGGATTCCCAGGTTGTGAGAGACGGCAGGCCGGGCTGAGCAACCCCTGCTCCAGTGTATAAATTTTCATGTACCGAGCCTCTAGTCTTAAAATAAAAATAGACATTAACATGGGAAAATCTACAATCTTTGATTTTCCATCAAGCATAATTCTGAATTGCCAAAATTAATTCTAGAGGTGACAATATTTAAACAACTCCTCCAGCTGTGACCTATTTATCTTAATAAAGCATCTGTTTTGATACATTAAATACTTTTTAATTTTTAAATGATTGGTTACATCCTTAGCCAACTCAATTCTTATTTCTGTTAGGACAATAGTTTATGCTTTTCTATCTTGACCATATGTAAAATGGTTAATTTATAAAAGTTTATAATTAGAGATCATTTTAAGGATATATGTAATAATTTATAAAGTCTACATGATGTCCCTGATAGCACCACTATCAGGGATCAATATTTCCATTTTAATGCTAATTGTAGAGATATTGCTCAGTAGTGCACCCATGGCATTGAAGGTTTTAACGCCTGCAATCATAACTGCATTTGTGAATATCAAAATAGCTACTCCAGGGTACTGGACACCATAATGTATTACACAAATGATCTGTAAGTGTCCGATAGATGGCAGCATTGAGCAAGAGATTTAGTACTAGTTGGCGTTTGGGTTTCTGTGAATTTTCAGTTAGGAGTAAATTTTTCAAATAGTGTGTATCATCACAGTATACCACAAGACTAATTTAGTGTAAGGTGACAGGATGATAGTTGTACTTGCTTAAGTTACTTCACTTAGGTTCCACAAAAACATCTCTTTCTATTCTGTATATACTAGTAAAAGGCACCAATGTGCACTTCCAGAACTATCACAACCCATTAATAATAATTTAAAAAATGTAGAGAACAAATGGATCTACTATCGTATAATTATAATAAATATTAACCACCTTTAACATTGATAGTAAAACATCAGCAACTATGAAGAAATGGCAATACCTAGCATCCGATGATCAGTGATTATCTTCCACATGAAACCCATTGGTCTGACCAGAATTTGTTATAGCAATCTGGCTTATTTCATGATTTCTAGCCAATATGTTAGCCACTGACATTGAATTTTTAAAGCAGAAACCCTTTCCCACTGAGACATTTTTAAAAAGCTTTTATAGTAATTTTTTTTATATGATCAAAATCCTAACCTTTCTGTGAAGGTTATTGTAGAATATTTGAAAATTCAATTGATCTTCCTGCCCTCTCCTTTTAGGAAAGAGTTCAATATTTTGTTTTCCATAGAGATGTGTTCCTTTTATTTAGCTTTTTTTTTTTTTTTTTTTGGAGGGGGGGTGTCATCTGAAAAGTAAAAGTCTTGGGATTTTGTCGTATTCCTATAAAATATGAAATAACCCGCACCCCGAGCTAAACGTCTGAACTGGAAAGCCCTTTGGCCTTAGCTTACATTGTTACTGGTAAACAACCCTTTATCGGTTTTCTTGCCAAGGGTGAAACCCCACACTGCTACACTTCACTACTAACTCCACGCTTCCCTGCTTCATCCACCCTCCCCTGCTCCGCATAAAGCAAGCTATACCCCCAGAATCTCGGTCACTGTTATTGCCGCCTATCGCTAGCTCCAGATGCGTGTGTGCTATTTTTAGCTTTGCCGTAGTGGGCACGTGTGCCCGCATTGCCAGGCTGCCAGGAGGAAAGAGGGCGGGCTTTCAATGCAACAGTGTGTACACAAATTACAGCTTAACCAGGTTTACAGGAGGATGCATGATGGCTGGCCGGGAACAAAAAGGTGAAAGGAGAACTGAGAAGCTCCCAGGGGCTTCGGTTGGGGAGTGCCCCCTTTGCAGATGCCCAGTCCCCGCAATTCACGTATCACACGCTGCTGCTGAATGGAGCTTACCGTTCTTGTTAATTTTCTTCCCCCCTCCCTACGCTTTGCAACCTACCTTGGCCCCCCTACCATCCCTCCCCACCTCCCCTCCTGTCAGGCAGAGCTTGAAAGACAGGGAGCCCCACCAATCAGCAGGCTTCTCCGAGAGACTCCCCCCGCCCTCACCCCGCCTGAAGGCCCAGCGCCTCGCCTGCTGCGTCTCCCCGCCAGCTTCCCGCAGCGCCTGGGAGCTGGCAGCAGACCGGGGGGCTCCCGCGCAAACAGGAGACGGGAACCCCGAACCGACCAGGAATAGGGGTGCAAACATAAGACAGCGTTAAGCCGAATGGCAAACGTCGTTTTCGTAGGGTCTTTGGTGCCAGCGGGGCAAGTGGGGGACAGACTGCCCGGGTATAGGTCAGCTTAAAAAAATGAACAGAAACTTCGGGGAGCGTTTGGTGCCTGATCCCGCAAGGTCAACTGAGGGTCTCTCCAAGCAGACCCAGGCTGCCGACCTGTTCTCGCGAGGTACCCCCATGTTCCTGCCCAGTCGAGCAGGCACCATCCTTGTTTTCTCCCCGTTATCCTTGTGGTCAAGGGTAAAGATTGTATGGGGGCAGCTCCATGGGTGTGCGAGCTATGTGTGACACAAACACGTCAGCCAATATTTACGCAGGAGGCCTTAGGAATCCTCTGTAGGTCTCTAAAAAATATATCTATTTTAAATCGCAAATAAATTTCGGAATATGATAGGGGACATCTCATTTTCTCTCCCCTTGCCTTCACCTCTACACGTGAATCCCCGCCCCTCGCTAGGATGGGGGAAGAGGAGAAGCCGTGATGTGTAAATGTTCCTCCTAACTCAGCAGCAGCTCATCTCACTGCGACGGGCATGGGATGCTCCCCAGGAATTCCCTCTCCCCGTTTTTTTTTTTTTTTTTTTTTTTTTTTTTTTTTTTTTTTTTTTTTTTTTTTGAGTGACCAGAAGGCCTCCATCTCTGTCTGCCCTTGGGCATCCCTCTGCTCCTTCCAGATTCCTCCCTGCAGCAAAGGCGGTGATTGCGAGGAGCAGGCTGCCCACAAGTTCCTTAGGAAATCGTATAAAACCCCAGATCTCATTCACGGCCTGTCACCCCGAAACTGAAAAGCAGCTTTCCCTTTCCCTTGAGAAGAAAGCTTACCTCCCGAGGGGTTCATTTTACCTGTTGGGTAAGACGCAGCCCCGCTCCGGCGCCCCCTCCTCCTCCGGCGGCCCCCCCACTCCGGGCTCTCTAGCTGCAGTGCACCCCGCCCCCCCACATCCCCCCCTCACTCCCGCTCTTCCCGAACTCCCCCCACTCCCGCCGTTTTCCCAGACTCCCTTCTGCTTTGGGGTGACCACCCAAACGCCCGCGCCGCTCCCGCGGCGGGGATTCCTGGGGCCGGGGGCGCCCTGGGTGGCGCGGGGAGGGCGGTGCGCCCGGGCCGCGGCCGCCAGGGGCGCTGGCTGAGCGCGGAGGGAGGCCCGGGGCGGGCGCCGCTGCGGCACCGCCGGGGGAGCGGGGGGGCGGAGCGGGGCGGCGCGGGGCGGGCTCGGCCGGGAATGTAGAGACCCAGGCGGGAGCCTCCGGGCGGCGGCGGCCGGGCTGCGGGGCGCAGAGGCTCCGTCACGTGTTCCTCTCCTCCGAGGGAGACGGCGGCGCGGTCGGAGGGGGCCGGCGCGCGGAGCCAGACGCCGCCGCCGCTTGTTTTGGTTGGGGCTCTCGGCAACTCTCCGAGGAGGAGGAGGAGGAGGAGGAGGGAGGAAGGAGGGGAGAAGTAACTGCAGAGGCAGCGCCTCCCGGGAAGAGGCGTCTTCCCCGACTCCTTCCCAAACCTACTCCCTCGCCTCCCGCCCTCGGCCCCCTCCTCGCCTTCCCCTGCCGCCCGGAGGAGCCAGGGGCAGGGATGTGCCTGTCCCTCTGGCGCGTCCCCAGCTCCCCCGGTTGCCTAGGTGCCTTTCGCGTGGAAAAGCCACTTTCTCCGCCCGCCGAGATGGGCCCGAGCGGGGGCTGCAGAGGACGCGTCTGCGGGCGGTGGCGGCCGCAGCAGCAGCAGCAGCAGCCGCAGCGCCGCGGTCTCCGCGATTGAGCTGGTATTTGGGCGACTGGTGGCGGCGGGGACTGTTGGGGGGTGAGAGGAGGCGGAGGAGGAGGCGGAGGAGGAGGAGGAGGGAGAACCCCGTGCAACGTTGAGACTTGGCAGCTCGCCTCCCCCTGCCCAAGGATATTTAATTTGCCTCGGGAATCGCTACTCGCAGAGGGGACCTCGGGAGGGAAGGCGCGCGCGCGCCCGGAGGGGCCACCCGGAGACCCCCGGTCTCTGTCGCCTGCCCGCTCGGGACTCCGGCTCGGGCGGCGAGGAGAGATGCATCCACACTCCTTCCCGGAGACTCGGCTCTGGGAGGATCCGGGCTGCACCCCCGCCGGACGCACTGCCTCTCCCCCGGGTGTTTGCATGAAACGCCCGTGAACTCTGGTCGGGGCTCATCTCCTCGTCCTCGCAGCCGCAGCGCCCTGTTTGGGCTGCCCCTTCCCCGGCGCGGGGTGGGGGGGAGGAGGGCTGCGTGGATTTGGGAGTCGGGGTTTTTGGCCGCCTCCAGCCCTGTTTGCATGCGCGGGGCCTCGGCGAGGAGCCTCCGCCCCCCACCGGGTGGATTTTCGGCGCCTCCCTCCGCTCGGCGGAGGCGGAGGTGGCGGCGGCGGCGGCGGCGGCGGCAGCATGGCGAGCCCCGCGGACGCCGAGGGCTTCTCGGACGTGCGCAAGGTGGGCTACCTGCGCAAACCCAAGAGCATGCACAAGCGCTTCTTCGTGCTGCGGGCGGCCAGCGAGGCGGGGGGCCCGGCGCGCCTGGAGTACTACGAGAACGAGAAGAAGTGGCGGCACAAGTCGAGCGCCCCCAAACGCTCGATCCCCCTCGAGAGCTGCTTCAACATCAACAAGCGGGCCGACTCCAAGAACAAGCACCTGGTGGCCCTCTACACCCGGGACGAGCACTTCGCGATCGCGGCGGACAGCGAGGCCGAGCAGGACAGCTGGTACCAGGCCCTCCTGCTGCTGCATAACCGCGCCAAGAGCCACCACGACGGGGCCGCGGCCCCCGGGACCGGGACGGGGGGCGGCGGCGGCGGCGGCGGCGGCGGGGGCAGCTGCAGTGGCAGCTCCGGCCTGGGCGAGGCCGGCGAGGACCTGAGCTTCTTCGGCGACTGCAACCCCGGGCCCGCCTTCAAAGAGGTCTGGCAGGTGGTCTTGAAACCCAAGGGCCTGGGCCAGACAAAGAACCTGATCGGCATCTACCGCCTCTGCCTGACCAGCAAGACCATCAGCTTCGTGAAGCTGAACACGGAGGCGGCCGCCGTGGTGCTGCAGCTGATGAACATCCGGCGCTGCGGGCACTCGGAGAACTTCTTCTTCATCGAGGTGGGCCGCTCCGCCGTCACCGGGCCCGGGGAGTTCTGGATGCAGGTGGACGACTCGGTGGTGGCCCAGAGCATGCACGAGACCATCCTGGAGGCCATGCGGGCCATGAGCGACGAGTTCCGGCCTCGCAGCAAGAGCCAGTCTTCCTCCAACTGCTCCAACCCCATCAGCGTGCCCCTGCGCAGGCACCACCTCAACAACCCGCCGCCCAGCCAGGTGGGGCTGACCCGCCGCTCCCGCACCGAGAGCATCACGGCCACCTCGCCCGCCAGCCTGGTGGGCGGCAAGCAGGGCTCCTTCCGCGTCCGCGCCTCCAGCGACGGCGAAGGCACCATGTCCCGCCCGGCCTCGGTGGACGGCAGCCCCGTGAGCCCCAGCACCAACAGGACGCACGCCCACCGCCATCGGGGGGGCTGCTCGCGGCTGCATCCCCCGCTCAACCACAGCCGGTCCATCCCCATGCCTTCCTCCCGCTGCTCGCCCTCGGCCACCAGCCCCGTCAGCCTGTCCTCGAGCAGCACCAGCGGGCACGGCTCCACCTCGGACTGCCTTTTCCCGCGGAGATCCAGCGCTTCCGTGTCCGGCTCCCCGAGCGACGGCGGCTTCATCTCCTCCGACGAGTACGGCTCCAGCCCCTGCGATTTCCGGAGCTCCTTCCGCAGTGTCACCCCGGATTCCCTGGGCCACACCCCGCCGGCCCGCGGGGAGGAGGAGCTGAGCAACTACATCTGCATGGGAGGCAAGGGGGCCGCCTCCACGCTCGCCGCCCCCAATGGCCACTACATCTTGCCGTCTCGGGGTGGCAATAGCCACCGCTACCTCCCGGCCGCTGGCACCACGAACTCGGCCCAGGCTGGGGAGGACGCGGTCGGTGCTGCTGCTGCTGCCGAGCTGGACAATCGGTTTCGCAAGCGGACTCACTCCGCTGGCACATCCCCCACCATCTCCCACCAGAAGACCCCGTCGCAGTCCTCCGTGGCTTCCATTGAGGAGTATACAGAGATGATGCCCGCCTGCCCACCAGGAGGGGGCAGTGGAGGCCGGCCGCCCGGCCACCGGCACTCCGCCTTCCTGCCCACCCAGTCCTACCCGGAGGAGGGTCTGGACATGCTCCCCCTGGAGCGCCGCGCAGGGGGCCAAGGCCGCCCCGACACCTCCAGCCTCCACACGGATGATGGCTACATGCCCATGACCCCAGGAGTGGCCCCGGTGCCAGGCAGCCGGAAAGGCAGCGGGGACTACATGCCGATGAGCCCCAAGAGTGTGTCTTCCCCGCAGCAGATCATCAACCCCCTCAGACGCCATCCCCAGAGGGTGGACCCCAATGGCTACATGATGATGTCCCCAAGTGGCAGCTCCTCCCCGGACCCTGCGGGTGGGCCCAGCAGCAGCAGCAGCAGCAACAGTGCCGCCCCTCCTCGGAGTAGCTATGGGAAGCCGTGGACAAATGGGGTTGGGGGCCACCCCTCCCACCCTCTGCCACCCTCCAAACTCCCCCCGGAGAGCAGCGGTGGGAAGCTCTTGCCTGGTACAGGCGACTACATGAACATGTCACCGGTGGGGGACTCCAGCACCAGCAGCCCCTCCGACTGCTACTGCGGCCCCGAGGACCCTCAGAACAAGCCGGTGCTCTCCTACTACTCATTGCCAAGGTCCTTTAAGCACACCCAGCGCCCGGGGGACCCGGAGGAGGCCGCCCGGCACCAGCACCTGCGCCTTTCCTCCAGCTCTGGCCGCCTTCTCTATGCTGCAGCCGCCGAAGATTCCTCTCCCTCCACCAGCAACGACAGCCTGGGTGGGGGATACCCCGGGGGGAAGCCCGAGCCCAGCCTTCCGCCTCAACTCCACCATCAGGTCCTGCAGACCCATCTGCCTCGAAAGGTGGACTCGGCTGCGCAGACCAACAGCCGCCTGGCTCGGCCCACGAGGCTTTCCCTGGGGGACCCCAAGGCCAGCACCTTACCTCGGGCTCGAGAGCAGCAGCAGCCCGCGGCCCTCCTGCTCCCTCCGGAGCCCAAGAGCCCGGGGGAATATGTGAACATAGAGTTTGGGAGTGATCAGCCTGGCTACTTATCCGGCCCCGTGGCATCCCACAGCTCACCTTCCGTCAGGTGTCCGTCCCAGCTGCAGCCAGCTCCCAGGGAGGAAGAGTCTGGCACCGAAGAGTACATGAACATGGACCTAGGGCCTGGCCGGAGGGCAGCCACCTGGCAGGAGAGCCCTGCGGTCCAGCCGGGCAGAGTGGGCCCTGCACCTCCAGGGACCGCCAGCACATGCAGGCCTACCCGGGCAGTGCCTAGCACTCGGGGTGACTACATGACCATGCAGGTGGGTTGTCCCCATCCGAGCTATGTGGACACCTCTCCAGTCGCCCCTGTCAGCTACGCTGATATCCGGACAGGCGTTGTGGAGGAGGCGAGCCTTCCCGGGGCTGCAGCAGCTGCTCCCTCCTCGTCCTCAACAGCCTCTGCTCCCCCCACTGCACCTCAAGGAGCAGGGGAGCTGGTGGCCCCGCAGGGGTCCGGGGGCACGAGTGCCTTCACCCGGGTGAACCTCAGTCCCAGTGGCAACCAGAGTGCCAAAGTGATCCGCGCAGACCCGCAAGGGTGCCGGAGGCGGCATAGCTCTGAGACCTTCTCCATGCCTAGCGCCCCCCGGGCCGGCAACACGGTGCCCTCAGCGGGGGCTGCAGTAGGGGGCAGCAGTGGCGGCGGTGGCAGCAGCAGCATTGAGGATGTGAAACGTCACAGCTCTGCTTCCTTTGAGAACGTGTGGCTGAGGCCTGGGGAGCTCGGGGGAGCACCCAAAGAGCAGGCTCCAGTGCGAGGGGCTGCAGGCGGTTTGGAGAATGGTCTGAACTACATAGACCTGGATTTGGTCAAGGACTTCAAACAGCGCCCCCAGGAGCACCGCCCTCAGGGGCAGCGTCCCCAGCCCCCAACCCGTCATCATCATCATCCTCCAGGCAGCAGTGAGAGCAGCTCCTCCAGCCGCTCCAGGGAGGATGTAAGCGCCTATGCCAGCATCAGTTTCCAGAAGCAGCCAGAGGACCTCCAGTAGCTCAACTGAACATCACAGCAGGTGCGTTTTGTGGTGACAAAGTCGGAAGACAAATTCACTTGAACCTGGTGCTTGAATTCCGTTTCTCTCTGCTTCTGCCCCTTCCCTCTCTTTCCTGTTTCTTCCTTAAGGAGTTGCATTCAGGAGGTGGGTGGGAGAGGTTAGGGCACATAAAATGCTCACCCCATGGTGACACCTGACTGAGAGTCTAGTCAGTCATATAAATCTGTAGGAGGGCTGTTTTCATTGGAGGCTCCGGACTGTAGTATTTCCAAAACATATGTTCTTTCATGCCAGTTCTGAAGTTTGTGAAGTTCATGTGTAAGAACTTTTTATCTCTTTATAGAAGTTTACTTTTGACTGTATGTTTAAGTCACTTCCTGGAAGGGACAGTTCTTCTACAAAAATATTTGTTCGAACAGGGCTAAGCCTTCATTTGAAATCATTTCTCAGAGCTCTGAGTTTGATCTTGATAAGTTACTCTGTATACTTCAGTTCTGTGATTACACAATACCAAGGTAACAAAAATAGCAGTAGGAAACATCAGCTTTTATTCACGCCCTCCTAAAATGATTCGGGAGTGAGAGATTGGTTAAGCTTACATATTTAGAAAGAAATAACCTCTCTACCTGTGACCCTTTAGAAAGTAATGATGGGTGATGCTTTCTTTTGGTTCCTGAACCAGGATTTATGAAACATACACACAGAGACCCACCACCTCACAGGCATGGCTGCTTTTGTACAGGGCATGCAGGGAAGCCTGCAAACGTCTGGGATCCATTATTAGTTAAGAGTTACGGTAATTCAACCCAGTGTGTCTGCCTCACAGTTGTTGGTTCTTGTGAAGGCCTGCACAGAGACATCACACAGATCACGTGGGGGCTTCTGTGCATTGTCTGTAAAATTACTTAACATTTTTATGTTGAAAGAAGGAGTACTGAGTCAAGGAAATGGAGGGTTTTATCCCGAAGTCTTCATGTTTAGGCTACTTGTTGTTTGCCTTTTAAGTTCCAGAGTAGATAACCTCATGAAATGCTGAAAGGTGGCTTCAGGTCTTCTGTGGGCAAAGCTGTATTGAAAATGGCAATACATTTTCAATGTAATAGGCAATTAGTTTGCTCTCCCTTCTGTTGAGCCTATTTTCTGGTGGTCATCGTTGTGGGAAGAAGAGAAGAGTATAGTTCGCAAATAATGTGGTGAGTTGGCAAATGCAGGAGTTTCCAGTATTTGGAAGCACTTTATTCGGCCAAATAGTTTATCTTGTGACCGTCTTTTTACATATGCCTCACAGAATGAGCTTTCCGAAGCCTTAATCTTAATATTTACCCATTCGTAAGAAGTTAATTTGTGCATTGGGTTTCTAGTGATAGGTATTTGTGTATGTGGTCACAGCTCCTTGGTTCTAACAGTTTCCAATATTTGAGCTCTACCATTTCTGTGTTGTAGAACAAGGTGTAAGTATACAAACAAGTTAAGATTTTTTGGTGATAAGGAAATATTGCAAAAAGCCGCTGTTTGACCAATATTCAGTATTTCTTTTCATGATTCACTAGAAGAGACTTAATTTTGTTTATCAACATGAGCAATAAAAATCTTTGAAAATGTTTTGGGGAATGTGAATCCTGCTAACACTTTAATCATTTGTGGTGCAAAGTCTTTCATTTGTAAAGTAATGACCATCTGAAGGAAACATTCCTAGCAGAACTTAAATTTTTGTTATAAAGGAGATGAAAGAAGAGGCTAAGAAACAAGTTTTCCTCGCCTATTTTCTTAATTTGAACAGTTTTCTTTTTATAGAGTAGAATAAATAATATTTGCTCTGAAGGAAATTTATGATCAAATTGAGTTTTCATTTTTAAAAAGGGCTTAAAATCCTCCATTATGTGGAAGATACATCAAAAACCAACCAAGCAAAACAAAAATAACCTTCTATTCTTAGTTTTCTTAGGAAAAATATAACATTCTGAAATAATCATAGAATCATTTCCCTAATAATCCTGGAATAGCAGTAGGCCATGCTTTAACAGCACCGTGCCAGACAACTCTACAATGTTTATTTGTCAGATGTAAATGGAGAGAGATGAGGGGTGCATGCGTGTGTGTGTGTGTGTGTGTGTGTGTGTACCAAATGCTACTTGGCACATGCATACCCTGAATTGTGCTTGCTTGCCTTTGCCCGTTGAGCTTAAAGATGTGATTTGATAGTCATTTATATACTGAAACAAAAGGAAATCAAACCTGCCCTTGGCAAACAACTTTTCCTAGAAATATGTTACCTTGTGAAAACATTGTCTTTCTAACTTCCTGAGCAATTACCATCTTTGCCTCTCTTTCCCATTTCTCAGGTAAAACCTGGAACATGAAAGGGAACGAGGTGCTACGGGAGTGTGCTCATGCCTCCCAAGGCCTCATCTTAAACGTCTCCGCTTGTCTATGAACAGAACATTTGTGAGGCATTTAGCTCAGGTACCCTTTGCTTCACCTCCTGTGCCACCAGCCATCTTTTCTGTTTCTTTCTTTTGTAGGCCTGTGTGTCTTTCAAACTTGGTTCTGACCTGTTAGATCGTTTTCCAATATTCCCCCCTCCCATCCCCATTCCCTTTGTTTCCCACCTATGTTCCTGGCATCGTCCCACCTCCACCCCCCTATTTTCCCCTCCATTCTAGAATTCCACAGTATTTGTGGCCTCCTTTCTGCAGAGAGTAAGCCGAGAGCCCAAGGAGGGCAAAAAAGGACGCAGCAACCCAGCTGCCTTTAACCAGCGTTTACCCCAAATTCTCCTTTTTGTTTTGAAACTGCAGCTGGGTAGACTGGAGCAGGCTTTGGCAAGGACACTGACTCAAGCCATCTTTTTAGGTTCCTCCTCCTCCTCCTCCTCCTCCTCCTCTTCCTCCTCCTTCTTTTTTTGCGGGGGGAGGGGTCAGGGATTCTGTCTACTACTCATCTCCCGCCTCCCCTTTCCCCTCGCTGTGTGGCCTTTTTGTCTGGCTCAAACCCTGTAGGCTCTGGCACTTTCCCCTTTCCAGGGTCACCTCCGCTTCCTGCATTCCTCCCTATTTATTTGGCACTTGGCTCTCCCCCCGGGCCCCCCCTCTCCTTAGCCCCTTTTTGCCCAGACTTGAGGATTCGGCCTCAGCCGCCCTCTGAAGTCTGCCATCCCGCCCAGCCCCGGTGGCCCGAGGGCACCGCTGTGGCCTGGGCCCTTCCGCTGCCCCAGTGGTGGGCGAGCCCTTGCCCTTGAGGCCTCGGGGAGCACAGACTGGCTCTGAGGGGGCGGGGCAGGCGGGAGCTGATTGGTCTCCCTCCAGAGCCAATCAGCGGGGGGATCAGCCTGGCTGTGCGGGTGGGAGGCGGGGCCAGAGATGGCAGGGGTCCCACAGTGACCGGGGCGCCTGGGGCCCTGGCGGCCTTTCCCCACCCCTCTCCTCCCACCCCTTTCCTCCCACCCCTCTCCTCCCACCTTTTCCTCCCACCCCTCTCCTTCAGCGCGGGCAGCACTGAGCCAAACCCGCGCCCCTTCCTCCTCCTCCCAGAGGATGCGCGCACTCAGACTGGAATCCTAAGAATGAGAAAGTCCAAGCGGCCCACTTGACCGAGACGCACACTTCCTCTGGTTTTTTAATTGAGAAAAATCCAGGCCCTGACCATGTGACGTGCCCCATTTTGTTTCCCTCCTCTGGCTACTACGGTTTCCTAAAAGACACCGCCGTGTTCCTTCATCTTCCTGTCTTAAAATCCGGGAGCTGGAGGCAGCTGCAGCACGTGGTGGTGGTGCTCAGGACTCTCACATTTTCCTCCCTAAATGTGAGAGGGAGGGAGGGACTAAAAAGGACTGAGAAGGGTTAGGGACCATGGGGAAAGGGGAAATAATTTGTCTTGAAATTGTATTAGGGTCAACACTATATTGAGTGTCCATAGTTTGCCAAGCATGGACAAAAGCTGATCCTTCTAGGCCAAAGGAGCTCACAGTGAAATGGAAACCTCTGATAGGAGCTTGCAAATCTTGAGCATTTAGAGATTTGTTGTAAGGGCTCGGATCAGGTTCCTTTCTGAGGTGGAAGGAAATACTGCTTAAGCTCTCAAAAACAGATTTTACTTTTGACCACTGACCTCCCCTGTGCAAGCTCCTCGGGGCAGCCTGGGCGACCTGATGTTTGAAACCTGCTAGATTTGTGTCGTGTTCCCTCAAATAATCAAAAGTATGTAAGATATGTTACTAGATGGGACAGAAACTTTGTTGACATGTGTCCTTCCTAAAATAAAGAAGAAAAATGAGAAATACTGTGGAAGTATTTTTTTCCCTCCCCCTCACCCCAGGCCTCTCAAATATGCATTTCTTACCAGCCAGAGTCCCTGAGTCATAACCAAAGGCCACAGTTTTCCTTAAGTGCTGATACGAACATCCCCAGTGAACTTGTAAAAAAAAAAAAAAAAAAAAAAAAAAAGACTGCCCTGGTGTAAGTGCCATGCCCTGATACTGCTTCTGAGCTGTGGAAAAGAGTCTCTCTGTTGTTCCAGAAAACTCTGAACCTCTAACAATCTTCTTAATTTCTGCCACTGTTTAGGTGGCTTTATAATAATAAAAAAAAGAAATAAATCCATAAAAATTTCCAGATATCATTTATCTGATTGCCCTCCCACCCCAATAAATACTGTCTCTAGTATTGCCATACATATAGCAAGAAACTTGGAATTCAAAAGTGCATCCCCTCCCCCCCCTTTTTTTTTTCTTCTCATTTTTGGTTTAATCAAGATTCCTGGAAATGGCTTTATGCTATCGTCACTGATGCAATGGAAAAAGCAGCTCCTTGGAGCCAGAGACCTTGCCTTGTAACAAACAGCCAGTGCCCTTCACTGGCTGAGTGACCTTGGACAAGTCACTTAAGTTCTCTGGACCTATTTCCTCATGGGTAACTTGAGAATTTTGTTCTAAATTATTCTAACCTCCTTTGCAGCTCTAAACATAGGCCTGTTCTGTAGAAAATGACTGATAGCATTTA